TGGGGAATCTTCGTGTTTATGAATGTCGATAACAGCCAGACCATGGAAAATTGTTTCTGTGTTTCATTAACCTAACGAAAACTCCACAGCCACAATTAACACGAGCAGAATTCAAGAGGGAAACAACTGACTTTTATGACTTAAAGTCATTTAGATCATTTAGATCATTTAAGTCATAAAGTCAGTTGTTTCCCCCTTGAATCGGAAGGTACAAAGACTCAACAAACTTTCTAAAAATGGCGCTCTAATTATATAAATGATTGTATATATAATATAAGCAAAGCTTAATTAAAAAATCGGACTCTCATAGGCACTGCAGTTTTACACGCTCTTTTAAACAAAACAAAAATTAAATGTCTAGACAGAAGACCACAGAGAAATGCTGGTGACGCAATCGAAAACTTATAAAAGGAGAAAAAACGAAGTGTTGCGTAAAAATTAGTTTTCCAAAAAATTGTTGATTTTTTCCGCTAAAATTCTTTTTTTGTTTCAAACTCGAAAGCGTTTCTACTGAAAATCAATGATATATTCGGAATTAGTGCCTGAAACTATATCGAATGGTCTATATCACAAGACATTTTTTCGAAAAAAATGTCGGCAAGAGTTTTCTTCGAAGTTCTGTTTGCTAAAAAATTGTTTTCTCTTAAGAGTGATTTTCTGAGTGATGTGCAGTCATTATTGAGCAAAAGAAAGTCATTTTCGAGAATGAAACTGACATCTCTGCCGATCATGCAAAACAATCACAATGTGCTTACTGAAAGTCCTATGTCATTGAAGCACTTCTATTTGTTCTAGTATACTGTTTTTAATGACTGGCCTACACGATTTATTTGTAGATGATGTGATATAGAATTCTGAGAAGTTGTTCTTTTCGAAATGCTGCTCAAAAATAGTTGAACTTAAAAATTTTTGCAAAAAAAAGTGCTTAAAAAATGGAAAAAGAACTGAAATAAGAATCCAGATGCGTCTGTTCCGCTTTCTCTGAATGTTCTTTGTAGACACACTTCGTAATGATGAGTCAGTCTCAATGACACTTTCTATAAATTATGAATCATTATCTACATTTTTTCGCTTATGCGATGGTGATTACTCAATCTCAAATAAAATACAACATAAGAAAGTGATTTATTAAAAATAGAAGCGAGGTCCAAATGTGTTGGGTTATCATGAAAACTATCAATTTCTAACCTCCCCAACACAAACTCATGACTTCATTTTTTAATTATTTTTTTTTACGAATATAGGAAATAGATACAAGAAAGTTGTCTTATGTTATTACAACATGTTAAGTAATACCAAACTAGACACATAATTGCTATTTTGTATGGTCATAATAACGATAAATTATCAATTCTTTTAAACAATCATATATAATTCGATGAAATATTTTTAAACTTCAATATATAATTAATAATAATTATATAAGAATTGTATTTTACAATAAATATTATTTCGAAAAGATTCATTTAGATTAAAATGAACGGTATATTTATGTAAATAAAATAAGTAGTCATGTTGAAGTTTAGTTTGTAATAGTTTAAAGAAAGAAATATTAAGCTATTCATGCAATACATTGGCTGAAATAGATGATGTTACTGATGATTATTTAATAATATTTGATAAAAATTGTGATTACCAAGCAAATGAAAAAACAAACTCATCCTCAAATATTGTTATCTTCAGCAAATACATTTGGTGATGAAATGGATTTTAATTAACATAGTTTAGTTGTTGAAAATGAAGCTTTATTTAGGAAAATTCCATCTTACAATGAAGGATTGACTAGAATGGACTTATTACTTGAAAGATGTTCAACAAGTTAAAAAAGAAAAACAAAAATACCATAATGAATTTATTAAATAAATATGATCAAAGAAGAAAATTGTGGTTTTCCATCAGAATTTTATTGTTTATTTAAGTTTTCTATGAATCAATTCAAATGAATGATGACTTATTGAAACTATTGGTCAATAATATGCTGCAAAAAAGAAAAATAACAAAAGGAATTCGTATTATTTCAAATGGAATTTCATTTGAAGAATTTCATTTTTAAAAATTGTTAATTTGGAATATTATTTTAAATTAAAAACTATATAATGATTATATTAAAACTCATTTTGTATCTATAAGCTTATCCAATTAATGAGTTTCTTTATCATTTAAAGATTTTGATGAAAGTGATGGTAACCAAATCATCATCAATTGAGAAAGAGCTAATTTAAATGTTGAACAAATAATAAATAATTTTGATTGAAATAATGATAATTTATCATCAAATTGCTCGTTTATTTTTTCTAATAACCGACTATTTAATAAGAAAAATGAGAGACTCAATTCGATTTCAAAACGAAACAAAAAGTAATGTCAAACATACTCGGAAATATCTGGATTAGCACATGATATGACGATCAGATCGATGGGACTATCCTGTGTGATTTTTTTTAACTATTGAACGTGTCTCACAAAGAATGGTACCCATATGAATCAAAAATAAAACTATTGATGATGCTTTAAAAAAAAAGTCGACGACAATCAAATACGACCGAGTACAGTACATCTTGTATATGGCTGGATTATAGTTTCATCTATTAATAAAAGCAACTAGTGTTTAGATTCAATCAAAATGTTTTGTGACGATTCGGGAAGAACCTTCAATTCCACATTCCCTACAGATGTATTCGAAAAATGAATCATACTGTGTTGAATATATGAATCGAACTAAATATCGCTATGCTCTTTTAAGACTATTAGTATTTATTGACATAAGGTGCATGATTACTGAAATTTTTTTTTAATTTCAGCAATATTTAACATCTTACCATTATGTAATAGTTGAGAGAGATCACAATACATTGATCGCATGGTGCTATCTTCAAAAAAAAATGACAGTTTATTTTGGTAAATACGCAAGGCATCGTCTTCATTATAAGTAGTACGATCATTTGTTGTTGTTTCAATTGATGAAGCAGAAATAGTAGAAGAAGAAAAAGAAACAGTTGAAGGAAGTTCAATTTTTGTTTTAGAATAAACAGGAAGAGGTGGTGATGAAATCATTATTGGTTAAATATTATTTTAAACGACCGAAGACGAATTATATACGCAGTGTAAACACACAATTCAAAAACGAATTCTGAGTAAATCCAGAGCCAATTACAAGAAACAATGATGAATCCTCCAATATCTACTACCATCGTTGATGTGGCCACTAATTGTTGAAATACTAAGTTCCAAACAATCGAATAATTAAATCAACTTGTTCATTATTCCATAATATATTATTTTAGACATTGAAGATTATTCAAAGAGTGGCACTATTTCGAATTCTAACACAAATTCGATCGACTTGAGTTTTGCATGAATTATAGCTATTTTCTTCATCTTTTGATAGCTCGATCGATCAGTTTTTACCCTGAGAAGACATATTATTAGAAACTTAATCAAATAATCACGAGAAAGAAAAGAAATAGACTGTCTCAAAGCTTTTTTAAAATTTTATTTCTGCCTATTTTCGGCTACCTGTTGTCAATACTCTGAAAGTAAAGCCCATGACGATCCGAATATGAGTGTGCATGTTGGTGAATGAAGAATTTCATCCTCACTCACACTCAGAAGGCCAATACTTGCGTTCAACTCTATACTCTAAAAAACTAATCAATTGTATGAGAGTTTTACGTATGCTTTAGAAAATTTGTCTCGATTAATCACCTCGTACGGTAAGGATTGTTTGGAATTGGTTATCTGACGATGACTTGAGTTTTATCTCTAATTTCTTTGTTAAACTCAAGTTCTACTATTAAAATCCTGAACATGTTATTTATCTATTGAATATGCTTTTTGTTGCCAGTAAGATATCCGATGACATTCAACATTAAAATACGACACCGCAAAAGATTTCCCAACATTCTATTGACATAGAAAAAACTTCAACTGCTTATGAAAGTGTTTCAGAGTGAACCATTGAAATCAGCTACTATGTCTCTATTGATTACTTTATTTCTAATATTGATATTGCCATTGGCTTTAATTAATACACAGTTCAATCTGTATGAGACTGTTTCATTAAGTAAAACCGATTTGTGTAGACATTGCTTGCATTACCAGGTACTGAATGATATTGAAATAAATGAGCACGTAGGTAACTTTCCAAGTTCCTATCAAATTATTTCGTACTGTATACGTCCATTGATCGAGCAAGAATATCAAGATGTAACGATCATACAAGGTAATATATTATCGAATTTCACATTAAATCCGTTGGAAACGCGCAACATAACCGGAGAAGATTTACTTTCCTGGTCTGCTCCAATTGATCTTGTCGAACGCTACGAAAACTATCTGAACGGATCAAAGGCAAGCTCAGCATCTGAAACATTATATAATTGCAGACCACTGTGGTTTGGAACGTTTTGTCAGTACACATTCGATTCGAACGTATTATATAGTCAGATTGTGAACGAGACATTCATGGCAAAGATTAGAGACGGGGGCAATATGTCAAACTTTGATATCACGATTCTGACCTGCTATGTGCATCTTGAATGTAACCGTGGACCATCACCGATTTGTCTTGATTGGCGTGAAGTGTGTGATGGAAGAGTTGATTGTTTAGGTGATGGAGTTTACGAAATGCATTGTTTGGAGCTAGAGATAAATGAATGTGAGCAGGATGAGTATCGATGTCACAACGGAATGTGTGTGCCTGAAAAACTTATTAACGATCATCCTTACAACCCAGATTGTTTGTATCCAACCGATGAAAACGATTTCAACGATTTTAAAATCAATCGAGTTTTTGGATTTCCAGACTGTGTTAAAGATCCGACATTCCGATGTGAAGAATCGGATCATTTTTTTGGCTATCGAGGTTTG